GGGGGGGGGGGGGGGGGGGGGGGGGGAGGGGGAGAGTGGCAGGGGGGGGGTATCTACTATTATGGGAGATGTCTGTGGTGGGTAAGGGGGTGGTGGTGGGAGACAGGACTCCATTGGGAAAGAAAGCTTGCCTGGTGTGTGACGTGCCAACTTCTGTGCCTGAACGAGCTTCTGAAGCCCTATGTTCTGCTACTCTTTTCTTTTCGGCCACTAATGGGCTTATACCTTCTTTTGACAGGCGGGTAATGCATGGAATCAATGGCCGCCGAGGCCCTCTGTGAGGGTTTACCCCTCGGCAGAAGTCCCTACAGCAGGCGTGTGCCCGCCCTAGGTGAAGGCGGGCCCCAGTGTGCCCTGGTCCCGTCATTTTTTGCAAATCTTGGTGAGCGCCAGACAGTTGGACTTGGTGACATTGGGCTATTGCCCTGACTTGGACATTGTATCTGGACGACGACATTGGGGGGAGATGACATTCTACGACACTATTGGATTGACGACATCCCATCTCCTCCTTCCCTTCATCTCTTCTCCCTCCTCCTCATCTGTGGATGCTATTTTGGGTATGGTGCTCTTGGTCTGTGTGTTCAGCGCCACACCCTCACACCCGATGCATGATGACGAGTGAGTTGCGGTCAGTCAGAGTCAAGTTGAGGCAGATCTTTGTATGTCAGTCTTCCACTGCATTGTATTGCACATTCCTCTTTGGTTGTTCCTTAGTTTTCTGCGCCATGCCCATCTGCTTTTCTTCGGGCATGCGACAAGGCGCTGCTCCTCACCAATAGATCGGAGTGACCATGGCGAGGCTTAGTAGGGAGAGATGACCGTCGCTGAGTCTTAGGGGAAAAAAGAAAAAATATCCAACGACAACAGGCCTTGCTCAGTTAGTACGCCCAGTGAACTGTTGGAATATAGACACAAGTTCAAATCCAAATGCAATCTGCTGAACAGAATACCTGGGTAAGTCAGCTCAATGATGCAGGTGTGGCTCCCCACCAATAGATGGAACCGTCCCCGGTGACCTTGTCGTGTCTGCTCCTACCAGCACCTCAAGCTGCTGTGCGGGATGTTTCGAAAAAAAAAAAGAAAAAAAAGTCTTGCATGCAAGTTCATATCTGCACTCCTGTCTCCAATGATCTGCCTAATAGTCCATCTCTGCTATTCATTGTTTCATTTGAAGTGACACTTTTTCATAAATGCTGAAAACTGGGTCTAGTGCCCCTTGTGTCATGTCCTCACATACCGCTTTCTTCCATTATGGCTGAACGAACATGAGACAGCGGCATCGATCGCTTCGTAGGGTGAAGGGATTTACCTCTTCTCCACCCGGTTTCTTGCAAGCCATGCACCAATACTGGGTCACTCGAACAATGCTCCTTTGTGTTGTTCCTGTCAGCCCTACCCGGCTGCCTGATTATCTCATTAGCTCCTAGAGCCATAAAACAGCTGACCGGTTAGAGTGACGTGAATCTGGTGCAGTATTTTGTGAATTATGGATCAGAGGATAAATCCCCTCCAAGTCATTCAGTCTGTCCTGACCATGCCCCTTCCATTTTTTGGGTGTTCCGCTCGTTCAGTACCTGTATAGGACCATGAATGATAGTTGTGGATGAAGATGACGTTGTGAAATGATGTGTTGGTCGTTTTGTGACAGGGGAGGTGTACACAATGAAGAGATATTCCAAGGAATTGGTGAAGCAGCATGGTAGGACTGCACAAGTGATGCGTGAGAGGGCATTGATCACAAGTTTGACTCCTTCAAACTTTGTGCCACATGTTCTTTGCACATGCTCTGACCGAGAGTATGCAGCAATACTTTTCCAAGTACGGCTTGCAGCACCATTTGAATTCATCGTGCAAGATCCTTTGCCTGAGGACGTCGTCAAGTTTTACTCAGCATCCCTGGTTGTTTGCCTCGAAATCCTCCACAAGGTTTGTCTAGCCCAACAACTTCCTCTTACATTTTTTTCTTTTCTCTTGTATCTGGCCCAACTGACTTCTTAGGGGTTTGAACTTTGGACTTTGAGAACATCCTCGGCCACATGGTTCACCGCATGTACTCTAAAGGGGCCAGATGTTATCACAATACGGCGCTCTGTGACTTTCACTCCCCAAAACACCCCTCCCTATGGTATGGACTCTCAAGACCCCCTGAAGAATGCAAATGTTACTAAACTAATGCCATGTGTGTATGGGCAATGACTTGAGGAAAAAAAGGAAGAAAAGAAAAAAAGACAAGATCGTTGTCGACATTCCTTCAAAATGAGAATGATCATAAGACCAGAACGGGGACATGATGGAAGCAAAGATAAGATCCAGATGAAAAGTTCTGGTGTTTGAATCAGAGTACAGTCAGAGAGAGCAACCCAGGGAAATGGTACTACTCCTGTGAAGGAACAAGTGACGACCAGGGAGTAAGGAGTTAGGTAGACATCATGACATATACAGGGAGGGATAAATAATCTCAGCAGAAGGCTCTATAGAGCGACTAGGGGGGATGTGTGTATGTGGGGAGGAACTGCAAAGGTTCATCACAACCTCTGACGAATGGGAGCTGGATGTGTTGGTGGGTGGTTTACGGTCCCTGAAGCAAGGATGGTAACCATCTCCTTTTGAGGAGAGCTGCACTATTTGTAAGAGCTTGACACCTTTGAAAGGATTCACGATCACAATACCCCTGGTTCATTCTCGAGTCCCAGGTCCCAGTCCCAAGTCCCAGGTCCTAGTCCCAGGTCACATTCACTAAGATAACAATTATGGGTTGAGGAGTCTATTTTCAGAAGGCACCACAAGCTTCAGCCAAGGTCGCAAGAGTCATTAGGCCAGGTTTCAGTCGGTCCAACCGAGTAGTCAGATCCAAGGAGGATCCGTCTGGAAGCAGCAAATCAAGGCAAGGGGACCGATCAGTAACCAGCACAAGATGTCTGAAAGGCGGATCAGCAAGTATAAAAGCCCACCAGCACCTGCACATCAACACAACATGCTTCACACTCAATGCAGAAGTGCTGCTGCGGTCTTGTGCATCGGAAAGGTGATTGAGCGAGTGAACGCAGAACAGTGCATTGGATGCCATAACCATAATTGTAGTATGCGAGAGTGAGAGTGAGGGGGGGAGGAAGACATTCTGAGAGACGAGTGAGGCCAGTGCACTGCGTGGGGGCAGAGACTCAAAAGCCCACCAGTGTGGGAGCAGAGACAAACAGAGGCAGAGGAAGAAGGAAGAGACGTACCTGCGTGTTGGGTGGAGAAACCATAAACGCTGGTGACTGAGAAGACAACAAGTTTTGCTGACTATTGAGGCTCTCTTGGACTCTGTGTCTCACGTGAGTGCATTGTGATGTGGGATTGACATCCAAGTGTTTCATGCATAGTGGTCTCCTTTTAGTCGTATCGGAGCAGACTCTCTTTATCTTCCGAGTGGCGTTTGACCTGAAGCCGACAGATTTGGTAAAAGGCCAGGGGGAATTGACCAGACTGGTCGTGGCGAGGAAGTAGAATGGAGGACCTAAGGAGAAGTGATCAGGGTGAGGGGACAAGTACCAACGATTTGAGCGTGGAGCACCGAGAAGAATCTTCACCGATATTGAAGTGAAGTGCTTTAGAACCCCAACTTTGTGTGCCGCATCTTCTTTTTATGGAAGTATTGGTCTCCTTGGATGTGCAGTTGTCGACTTCTATTGTCATCAATCAGGTTTAGGTCATGAGAAGTGATCAAGGTGAGGGGACAAGTACCAACAATTCACAGATGACCACGTAAAGTAGCAAGCACGGGCATTGCGTGACGAGTGCTCATTAAACAACCTGGCTAGCCCTAAGACCGGTACTGACCCCATGCAAGGGAACCATGCGACTCGGCGAGGGGCTAGGAAGTCTTGAGAAGGGAACAAGTCCCTCACTCACGCTCACTGCAAACCACCTCATCCTGATTGCGGCATTAAAGAATTTTTTAGGATGTTGCGAGTAGTCCTGAAATTGTTGGTTGGCTTGTCGGTCATACTTGTAACCTCTAGTGGAAACTTGATGTTAGAACTGCGCTAGTGGGCAAAGCCAATGCCCTAGAATCAAAATCAACGATTTTGGGGGTAAGCCAACATTTTGAGCTACGACTGGGAAGGTCTAAGTGGTAGGAGGGTTTTGAACGAAATCTCACGAATTGACTGTTGTGAACTCCGTTTGCCATGGATGATCTCCCAATGTATGCTCTCCTCCTTTTCTTGGTCATTTGGCACCCCTTGTTGATGTTCCTATTTTCGGTAGGGCCGCCTTGGACCGTAGGATGTCCCCTATGAGAGTGCAAAGTGGGAAATAAATTCCCCAACCTAGGGACGAAGAGTATGAAACGAGGAAGGAGGAGGAGCAGAAGGAGGAGAAAAAAAAGGACAAGGAAGTGGAAGAGACTTTTGTCGAAGGGGCAAGGAAGAAGGCGAAAGGATGAGAAAAGGACGAAGAGGAAAATCAGAGAACAAGAAGAAGTAAGCAGAGTAAGAGATGAAGAAGAAAAAGAATGAAGCAAACGAAGAGATGGAAAAGAAGGAGGAGGTGGTGAGCAGCATAGCCGGTATCGTTGTGAAGCAATGAAAAGGGGAGATAAAACCGTTCCTATCCCTCACTTATGTGCCCGAATGCCGGGACGCTAAACTTTAGAGCGTCAGATCCCTCCTTTGTCATATATAACTGGATGAGCAGCAGCTCGAGGTGGCGCTGAAGCAAGCTACGACCAGCAAGGAGAATGCCTGACTACAGGCACAACAGGGGAAGCGAACATGTTGAGGGAAGATTTGGAGGACGAGAAGATCATGGAAGAGTCGAAGGGGATTGCCGCAACTGCCCTTAAGGTGGCTAATCAAGCATCAGGGAGCTACAAAAGTGGCAGCACACAATCAACGCTTGTTTAGAGCAACAAATGGAGCAGGCTACCTCGGTCTTCGCCAAACAGATAGAAGAGTTGACTGCAACATTTTAGGAGAGCCTAAAAGCATAGATGACGAGGTTTGAGAACATGATAGAGGATGAGATAAAGAAGGTGATGAAGAAGGTAGTGGGAGGAAATGGTGATGGCGATGGAAATGACAATGGTCATGGAGGAGGAGATAAGAGAAGGTCGGAACAACGAGGGAGAGATAGAGAAGATGATTGACAACGAATCCCCTTTCAACAGTGGGCCAGGATGAGGTTACGTAACCCCTACTCCGACAAGAAAGAAGACGACTTGGCCACGTGGGTTGCTGAAACCCATGCTTATATGAACGTAGACAAATTTTCCCACACAACAGGGTAGTCATATAGACTCATATTGACCACAACGTTGAAGGGGGGTGCCAAGGCATGGGTGATGAGGCAAGTGCATGTTGCTGGGTATGAGGACAAGATAGATGCATATTGCAAAACACCGTCCCTAGATCAGTTCCTGGCTATCCTGAATGAACAATTTTGAGATAAGAATAATGGAGCCATCGCTAGAGACACTATCATGAACATCCATAGAACTCCCTAGCGAAGTGTAGACGCCATAGTCAGGAAGATGGACGGGTTGCCGTAGACTCCAGCTCATGGAGTCACCGATGAGCAAGCATTGAGGCAACTGGCCAAGGCTATGCTCGAGTCAGTCCGGGACATCCTTGTTCTCGATCTGCAAATCGAAGGCATGGCATTTAGAAAGTACGTAGATAAAGTTAGCAACATAGCCACGCTGCAACAGCAAGTCAACCTCTCGACCTTTTCAGAACTGAAGAAGGGACGTAAGTGGAAGGGCAAGAAGATACTTGAAAATATGGGCACTAAGGACCACGTTTTTATCATTTGTGAGAGAGGACTGACTCAGTGCCTTATGATCAGGTGGAAATGGATGATTGCTGCAAAAGCGTGTACCAGGGAGGGGAGTACGCTGGTGCCGCGGTCCACAAGCGAGGGCCACAACAATCTGGTGGTGGGAGCAGATCCCAAACACAACATTAGGGACGATGGTAGCAATAGTCATTGCAAGGAGGAGGTTATAGAGGCCCACATAGATATCCTCCACACCTAGGACTCGAGCAGGGCGAGCCTTGGAAGCAAATGAACATGTCAGAGAGTTAGTGGCGGCTGCCAGTGCTTCAAGTGTGGGAAGGAGGGCCATATCATCCCCTACTAACCCATGTGGCAGCAACACAACACCAACATCAGTCGGCAAAAGAAAGGGGCCAGTAGAAGGAGGTTCTAGGGTTGTGAATGTAGGCAGTGCGCGCATGGAGGATTTATCCCCTTCCCATTGACACGCCATGGCAGAGGTTGACTCGATCATCCACGCAGTGCCTAAAGGAGAGACTGCTTGTTGTAAAGTCCCTATGAGTGGTTCCCTTACAGGCCTAGGCAAGGAACTGATCACTCTTCGGAGTCTTCGCGGATCCTTTGTCGGGATGGAGAGACAGCTATGTCTATTCATTGTTGTAGATGTAGAGGTTAGTGGCTCATGTAATAGTGGGTCTATTAGGAGTTATATATTGCACAAAGCTATAAAGAAGCTGCGTCTAAGCACAAAGGTGTTAGATTTAGAAGAGCCAATCATTTGTAGGGCTAACAGTTTGCCGACGAGCGTGAGTCAGTATGTAGCAGGAGTAAAAGGGTACTTCTGGTCAAGGGGAGGAAAAAGGTAGAGAAAGCACTATAATCGTTGACCCTTTTAGTGGAAGAGGACCTGTCTGTTGATATGCTTCTTGGAACAGACTGGGGTGCAACAGCAAAGGCCAACATCAAGTTAGGAGAAGTTGAGTGCCGGCTCCTACTACTTACCACTGGCCAAAGATCCTCGTTGTGTCTGTGTTGAGTGCCCCAAAATTCTCTAGGTACTTAGAAGAGTTAGACGTACATTGCCTTTGTAAAGCCTGCCGATAAAAGGAAAAAGCAAGTTGATAGCCTGCTCAAGAGTGAGGAGGAGGCGATTCCACCTCAAGTGA